TTGCATAGTTTGCAAATATTTTTTCCATTCTGTCGGTTGTCTCTTCACTCTCCTGACTGTTTCTTTTGCAGTACAGAAACTTGATCAGCATAGCCCTGACTGTTAATGAACAACTTAATACATTATCCCTCTTAGTATTTTTTTTTGTCTGTTCTACTTAATACTACTGGTTTAATTCTGTAATTAATACACAGTTATTCTTAAGTGTTAAAATTAAACTGAAATGTGATCCCTGTTAAATATAAGAGTGGGAATAAGAGAGGGAAGAGATGTACAATTTGGGACATGCTCAAGCTGACTTGCCCCAAATGGTAGAGTTAGAAACATACCAGGGGATTCCAATTCAATCCCATCAAGGTGGCATGTACCAATGCCATCTCACTAGTCCAAGTGTTCAATTTCAGTTCACAATTGATCATAATGAAAGGACTAAGAGTCAAAGGGATCACATAAACAAGTCTAATGCCTGCTAATACTAACTGATAGAATAAATAAAGGGGAGAGCGATCCAACATGGGAAGCGAGATACACAGCAGACTCATAGAATGGCAGATGTCCTAAACAGCACTCTGGCCTCAGAATCAGCCCTAAAGGCATTCGGATCCGGCTAAAAAGCCCATGAGAGTATTTCAGGCATGGAAAGCCAAGACACTCTGGCAAACAAACAAACAAACAAAAACAAACAAACAAACAAACAAACAAAAAACCTAAATGAAAGATCTGTATGAGTGAGATCCCAGTGGCAAGAACAGGTCTTCAAAGAAGGAGGTACCTTTCTTTGAAGGGAGGAGAGAACTTCCACTTTGACTATGACCTTATCTAAATAAGATAAGAGTCAAAAGATAAGAGAACTCAAAAGGCTTCCATAGCCTTGGAAACTCATGACTGGAGCATAGGGAGATTACTGATGCCATAAACAGGAGTGCCAATTTGTAAAGTCAACAACAGGAGTCACTGTGCACTTACTCCTCATGTAGGATCTCTGTCCTTAATGTGCTGTACATTGAGATTTAATGCTATAACGAGTACTCAAACAGTATTTTTCACTTTGTGTTTCTATGGGGGTGCAAACTGTTGAAATCTTTACTTAATGTATACTAAACTGATCTTCTGTATATAAAGAAAATTGAAAATGAATCATGATATGAATGGAAGGGGAGAGAGAGCGGGAAAGGGGAGGGTTGCGGGTGGGAGGGAAGTCATTGGGGGGGGTGGGGGGAAGCCAATGTAGTCCATAGCTGTACTTTGGAAATCTATATTCATTAAATAAAAGTTAAAAAAAATAATATTGTAATGGAGACCATTATACAAATATGTTTTTTTAAAAGATTTATTTATGTATTTGAAAGGCAGAGTTATAGAGAGAGAGAGAGGAGGAGAGACAGAGAGGTCTTCTGTCAGCTGGTTCACTCCCCAAAGAGCCACAACAGCCAGGGCTGGGCCAGGCCAACGCAGCAGCCAGGAGCTTCTTCCAGGTCTCTCACTTGGGTACAGGGGCCCATTTTCTGCTGCTTTCCTAGGTGTGTTGGTAGAGAGCTGGATCAGAAGCAGAGCAGAGGGACTCCCACAGGCGCCCTTGTGGGATGCCAGTGCTGCTGTAACCCATGAGCCACAGCGCTGGCTCCTATACAGTATCTTCCCTTTCCAATGGCAGTTTCCTAGAAGCAGAATAAGTGATGAAAGACAGAAAACCGTACAGGATGGAGAGTCCAGGGGAATATTTCAATAAGTTTGCAGTAGTAGCAGCCTTCAAGGGAAAGAATGATTGTAATTTGAATAATGAAAAAATTGTGTGTCTCAAAAACCTTTTGGAAAATTATGGTAGGCAAATGGCAATCAAGAGTTCACACAAATAAAAAAGACTTGAGTCATAATTCAAAAAGAGCCCTTGACAAAAGAAAAGAAACGTGTGGCCAGCAAATGTTTGAAAGAATGTTCAACCCCAGTAGTTATTCAAAGTAACAAAGCGAAAGGAAGGTGATATGGAATTTCTCAGATTAAAGATAACTAGTTCCTGAGAATATGTAGAGAAACTATAAATTGCTGTATTTCTGGAAGCAGTTTGTAAGTAAAAAATCTCTGTGCTCTTTTTATTCAGAAATTCTAGCTCATAGGAGTTTATTTTAAGGGTATTATCAGCAGATAGGTGCCCAGTATGTTTACTGTAGCATTGTTGATTGATTGAAAAAACAGTTAAATGGGGATTTGGTTTGATTGTGGTATGATTGTTCATTGAAATACTATGCTAAATATATATCCAGATGTCATAGATCTGAATTTACTGACTAGGAAGATGGCCAAGATGCATTTAAGAGATATGAAAAATGAGGTGGAACAGATGTGGGCACAGTGGTTAGGATACTACTGGGGCACCCACATCCTGTATTATAGTTCCTATGTTCAAGTCCCAGCTCTGCTTCCAACTCCAGCTTCCTGCTGCTGCACACCCTGGAAGGCAGCAGGTGATGGCTCAAGTACTGGGGATTGTGCCACCCGTGGGGGAGACCTGGACTGAATTCCAGACTCCGGGCTTCAACCTGGGCCAGCCCTAGCTGTGGTAGGCATGTGGTGGGTAAGCCAGTGGGCAGGAAATCTTTCTGTGTCTCTTTGTCTTTTATTTTTTTTAAAGATTTATTTATTTATTTGAAAGGCAGAGTTACACAGAGAGAAGGAGAGGGAGAGGGAGAAAGAGAGATCGAGAGAGAAAGATCTTCTATCCGCTGGTTCACTCCCCAGTTGGCTGCAACAGCTGGAATTGCGCTGATCCGAAGCCAGGAGCCAGGAGCTTCCTTGGGGTTTCCCACATGGGTACAGGGGCCCAAGGGCTTGGGCAATCTTCTACTGCTTTCCCAGGGCACAGCAGAGAGCTGGATTGGAAGTGGAGCAGCTGGGACTTGAACTGGCTTCTATATGGGATGCTGGCCCTGCAGGCGGTGGCTTTAACCCACTATGCCATAACGCCAGCCCTTCTTTGTCTTAAATAAAATAAATAAATAAAAATGATTTAAAAAGGAGTGAATGAATGAATATAATAGAATAATAGAATACCATAATGTTAATTGTGTTTTTCTCTTTAGAGAGATATGACTGATGTTTTTAAAATTCCTTTATTTTTCCTGAAATTTTAAAAGAAATATATCCCTGCATAGATAGAAGAAGTGGGAAAAAGTCCAGTTCCCCAAAATGAAATGGGTTGGGACAAAAACACAATGTGTGTTTTATTATACTGCTTTCTGTAGCTACCAAATGTTGATTTGGAGGTTGGAGTAAAAGTGTTCCATGAGCTGTATACTTTGTGACGTGGATTTGAGAGAAACTCTGGGTCGGTGTTCCGATCGGGTAACACTTAGGAAGGCGACCGGCACGGCCGGGCCTGGGGTCACCTGCAGGTTGTCTCCTGGAGCATCCTCGAGAATGTCCCTCCCACTGTCCTTTATCACTCAGGAAATGAGGGCTCAGTGAGGCTTGGTGCATCTGGGGGTGGGGGAGACTGGGGGTGGGTGCTAGGACCGTGCAGCTTCCTCATTCCCCCCATCAGGCCCCCTGCTCTCCCTTGGCAGTGACTTGGCCTTTGGGTTTGGGCGTCATCTCCCCTCTCCTCCCCTCCCCTTCACTTCACAGCCAATTCGTTGGGGGCGTCTTCCGATAGTTCACAAACGGTCAGTTGAATGGACTTCCGCACGTGTTCCCACGCTCCCGGTCCCCAGCCTCGGAAGCAGGCTGTGGTTCCTGGGGGCACCTGGTGTGTGGAACTGAAAAGGGAAGTGGTGCATCGTGTTAGGGGTCAGTCCAAGTCAGGACTCTTTCCGGCACAATTCTGCTCAGACTGCAAGTGCAGCTTTTGGGGAAGATGAAATTATAATTAAAAAAAAAATTTTTTTTTTATTAGAGTGAGAGCAAGCCCTGTTCTCAGCTGGTCCGCTCCCCAAATGCCTGCGAGCACTGGTTCTGAATCAGGGCTGGGGTCCGGAGTGGGTGATGAGATCCAGGTCTCCCAGCAGGGTGGCAGGAGCCCAGTCAGGTCAGCCATCACCACCGCCTCCAGGGTCCACATTGGAAGGAAGTCGGAGTCAGGGGTCAAAGCTGGGGGGTCCAACTCAGGCAGCTTCACCACTGGGCTGAACGACCATTCCTGAAACCATAGTCTTCAATGTCAAAGCTCTTGGCAGCCATTTCTTTCACTAGTGACTCTTATTCATGTGTTTTTAAGATTTTCTTAACATTGTGCATTGGGAGAGTTTATAAAATGTACGTTTGAATCTTGTACTTTCTCTGAATGGCTTAATCTGAGACATGATTTTAGTTTCGGCAAATTAAGGAGTGAAAATCTCGTTTTGGTGTAAACCAAGTGCATTTTATTTAACATTGGCGTTCATTAAAGGGCTGTAATTACATCACAGAAACTGCAGGAGAGGGGGTAAGATTGCGAACGTTTTTCTGGAGCAGAGTGGCTTTTGGTAATTGCTTCTAGATTTTTCTTCCTGTGCATCTCAAATACTGTAGATACAGTTTCCAGGTTATGGTTTTGTCAGATTGAGCGAAACTTCTGCTTCCACCGCATCCGCCCCCTGAGTGGGCAGTCAGCTGTCCCCACTCTTGTTTGTTTCCCCCTTTGCTGTAGGCAGAAATTGTCAGCATTTTTGGTAGAAAGCAGATCTGGATTCTGTAGCAATATCCGAAGGGGAATGACTGTGCCGAGAGAGATTCCAAGTTAAGCTTGCAGGAAATGAACCCAATGTTTCTAAATAATCCTAAGGGATGGTTGAGTTCCGTTTGCCAGGGGTCTCGGGAGAAAGGCCCTGGCCTTTTCACCCCCTGAATTCCACCCCGGGTCCGGTGGCGGCGTGGGGTGAGCTCTGCCCCTTGGCTGGTGTGCCGGCTGGGAGGACCGCGTGTTCGTGCCCAGCGTACTTCCTCTGAGGGAGCCCTCCCTCTCCCCCCCAGCCAAGGCCTGCTGCTGTTACCCCTCGCTGACTTTTTTCCATCCTCTTATTTTGCAGAGTACGCGGGTGGAGTTTGACCTGCCAGAATATTCCGTCCGCCGCAGATACCAGGATTTCGACTGGCTGAGGAACAAGCTGGAAGAATCGCAGCCCACGCATCTCATTCCCGTAGGTAGTAAGCCGTTACAGCTCCTCTCCTCACTCCCCGCGCCATCTTTCCCGAAGGTGTGACTCGGCCCAGCCCCTAAAGGTGCAGCCCACCCAGGCATGCATTTCACCCCAGGTCCGCCCATCACATGTGTGGGAAGCATGTTTATGGACACTCTGTGGGGTGTCTCACCTTTGGGGTTTTGGCTTCTGATTGGCTAGACAGGTTGTCAGTTTCTTGGGTGAGGCTGGGTAGACACTTTTAGGATGATCATTTGCGGGGAGGTATAGAGAGTTCTCCGGTTCTCACTTGTGCCTCTTTAAAGATTGAAAGTCCGAAGTGTAAGTCCTACTGAAGCTTTCTTCCCCATTGCTAGTCTCTCTGTCCTTGAGGTCTGGCCCCCTGCACCAGGTGAAGAAGGGCTGCACTTTGTTTTTAAAGATTTATTTTTTTATTTATTTGAGAGGTAGAGTTACAGACAGAGAGGGAGAGACAGAGAGAAAGGTCTTCCATACACTGGTTCACTCCCCAATTGGCTGCAACGACCAGAGCTGGGCTGATCAGAAGCCAGGAGCTTCCTCCGGGTCTCCCACGTGGGTGCAGGGGCCCAAAGACTTGGGCTATCTTCCTGTGCTTTCTTAGGCCATAGCAGAGAGCTGGATCGGAAGTGGAGCAGCCCGTATAGGATGCCGTCACCACAGGCAGCAGCTTTACCCCTGTGCCATAGCACCGGCCCCATGGTTGGACTTTCTTTGCATACACCAAAACCCAGGGATCAGCAGTCTAGCACACAGTCTCTTTCAATCACAGCTTTTCATTTGAAAAACTAGAAAACGGGCCGGTGTTGCGGCGCAGCAGGTTAGCGGCCATCTGCAATGCCGGCATCCCATGTAGGCACTGGTTGGAGTCCCAGCTTCTCCACTTCTGATCCAGCTCCCTGCTAATGCATCTGGGAAAGCAGCAGAGGTGGCCCAGGTGCTTGGGCCTCTGCACCTATGTGGGAGACCTGGATGGAGTCCGGGCTCCTGGCTTCGGCCTGGCTCAGCCCCAGCCGTTGTAGCCATTTGTTGAGTGAACCAGCAGATAGAAGATGTCTGTCTGTCTGTCTCTCTTTTTCTATAGCCCTGCCTTTCAAATAAATAGACCTCAAAACAAGAAAACCACCTGACACTATTGAAGCAGCATAAGAATGATCTACTACGTAACATCTGAACTTTAAAAGAAGTTAAACTTTTGTTCATTTATGTATTCGAAAGCTAGAGAGAGACAAAGAGAGGTATTGTCCATCATGGATTCACTGCGATTCTTTCCCTAAATGCCCACAACAGCCGGCCGGGGCTGGACCAGGCTGAAGCAGGGAGCCTCCCACCCATATGTCAGGGCCCCAACTATTTGAGCCGTGGCCTGCTGCCTCCAATGTGTGCATTAGCAGGAAGCTGGAATCAGGAATGGAGCAGGGATTGAACCCAGGCGCTGATATGGGACGCAGGTGTCCCAGCCAGAGGTTTAACCACCGGCCACCTGGCTGCCCCGTCCTCCCGTGTTTTTTCCGGGTCAGATGTTCTGTAGACTAGACTCTGGTGGTGTCTGACATTTTCCCTGTGGTTTGACTGGGGTCATGTGCTGTGGGGAGGAAAGCCACAGCGGTCAGCTGCCACTCTCATCACATCACATCAAGGGCGCCCGCTGTCGGCACCACGTGTCACTGCTGGGAGTGGGGTGAGCCGGTCACCTGACCAGAGGTGGTACTCGGCAGGTCTCAGCCCCATACCCCAATATAGTCTCTCCTCTTCTCCCTTCCCACACTGTATTTTTAGGGAGGAAGTAGCTCTTTATATGCTGCCCTTGCTGTGCATCAGGGCGGTTGTGCGCCCCCTCCTGGCAGGTAGTGCATGTTGGCGCTTGGTACCTGGAGATGGCAGGTCAGACAGCGACACCTGCTGGTGAGATATGGCGACACAGGTCCACAGATGCTGACGCCACAGAGAATGGAAGAAGCTTCAGAATGCCCAAGGCATTTAAAGTGTGGGTGAATGCATGGAGGGTGAGGGTCCTGTAGAAGCCATCATTAGACGAGATTTCTTTATAAATTCTTGGTTCTCTCACACACACCTTGCTGGAGACAGATTTAATATAGGAGAGCGTCTCTGCTGTAGACACTGAAGTCAAACCAGAAGCTACCCCCCTTTTCCCCTACTACATCATTTTGTAGCGTCTGCTAGGCGGTATTTCTCTGTTACTAAACATTAGCCTTGTGTTAATCACTTTCCTGGCCTGGTGTGTGACCCTGCTGAGGAGCAGAGGGTGAGTGAGGGGTTGTGAGTCAGACCAGGGACCCCTGCCCTGGGAACTCGGTTCAGATGGAGACGCTGTAAACTTGCTTGCTCTTCCTTGCCTTTCCTCCCTCCCTTCCTCTGTCTTTCCTTGGAGAGCTTTATTGAGACAGTCACATACAATAGAATCTGCCTTTTTAAATTTTATTTATTTGGAAGGCAAAGTGACAGAGACATGGAGAGAGAGAGAGAGAGAGAGAGAGAGAGAGGTGGGTATCTTCCATCTGCTTGTTCATCTCCCAAATGGCTGCCAAGGCCAGGGCTGGGCCAGGCCAAAGCGGGGAGCCTGGAACTTCATCCGGGTCTCCCATGTGTGTGTCAGGGGCTGGAGTGCTGGGTCCATGTGCATCAGCAGGGAACTGGATCGGGAGCAAAGCAGGTGGCACTCAAACCAGCCCTCTGATATGGGATGCTGGCCTTGCAGGCGGCGGCTTAACCCACTGTGCCACAACGCTGGTCTCAGTGTCTTTTAGAATATTCATAGAGTTGTGTGGCCATCAGCACAAATTTTCATCAGTAAAACAAAAACAAAAAACCCCACACTTTATACCCCTTAGTTGTCACTTTTAAATTCTTGTTTTTCCAGCCATTGGCAGCCACTCCTCTGTTTTCTGTCTCTGTGGTTGACCCACCCCAGGCATTTCCTATAAGCAGAGTGATCCGTGTGGCCAGGTTCTTTTACTCAGCGTGATGCTGTCAATGGTGCCCGCAGGTTTTGGGGGGAATCGGTGCCCTGGGCGGTGTCTCGGCGTGTGGATGGATGACACGTTGACTTCGCAAGCACCCTGGGTGGACACAGTGTGCCTTCTGCCTGTTGGCTACTACGAGTAATGCTGCTGCGGTTGTGTGTGTACAGGTTTTCCCGTGGATGTGGGCTTTCATTTCTCTCGGGGGTACGCGGAGGCGTGGATCTGCTGAATCCTATGTAATCCTACATTGAACGTGTTGAGGCATCACCCGGCTGTCTCGCAAAGTGGTGACATCACAGTGCCTTCCCACGGGCAGCGCCTGGGAGTTCTAGTTTCTCCGCGTCCTCGTCACCGCGGGTTATTATCATCTTTGTGATGGTTGTAGCTGTCCCAGTGGGCGTGCAGTGGGGTCTCATGCCGGTTTGGACTTGCATTTTTGTTAATGTCGTCGAGAGTCTTTTCATATTTATTGCACCTATGTACATCTTCCTTGGAGAGCTCTGAGGGGGCCTTCGCCAGCTTGTGGAAACATGGAATTAAAAACCAAACTTTATTTCTCGACATTAACTCCATCAAGTTAAAGGCATTTTTGTAAGGAAAATGTCAGCCTCTGAGCCCATCCCGGAAGAATTGTGGTTCCTGGGGATTCAGCCATATCCGTGCAGTCTTGTTTCTATTCCGAGCTGAAGAAAATGGGGTGCCCTTAAGGATTTTCTTTTTAAAGATTTTTTATTTATTTGAGAGTTACCGAGAAGCAGAGGTAGAGAAAGAGAGAAGGAGGGAGGGAGGGAGGGAAGGAAGGAAAGAGAGAGAGAGAGAGAGAGAGAGAGAGAGAGGTCTTCCATCTGCTGGTTCACTCCCCCAATGGCTGCAACAGCTGGAGCTGAGCCAATCTGAAACCAGGAGCCAGGAGCTTCTTCCAGGTCTCCCATGCAGGTACAGGGGTCCAAGCACTTGGACCATCTTCTGCTGCTTTCCCAGGCCACAGCAGAGAGCTGGATCAGAAGTGGAGCAGCCGGGACTTGAACCTGTACCCTTATGGGATGCCGGCGCTGCAGGCAGCGGCTTTACCCACTATGCCACAGTGTTGGCCCCTGAAGATTTTTTTTTTTTTTTTAGATCAGGAAACAGACGTCAGAGCAGCCAGGTGAGGACTGGCAGGTGGATTTATGATTCCCCGAGACCCTGTTTGATGAGAGGAATGAGCAGGGACGTGGCGGTGGGGGCAGGGCTCTGGTGAGGCTGTTCTGGGCATGTCACTGGCGCAGCTTTGGCTGACTTTCTCCAGATATGCAGAAGTTATCACTATTTGGCCTTTAAAAGTAAAAAACAAAACAAAACAAAAACGGAATTCCTTGAGCATCCCCCCAAAACCAAGGGTCAGTTTTTGGCCCTGAGCCTTCCACTCCTGGCTTTGATTGGGCCACTGCCGCCTCCTGGTAGCCACTGCTTTGTCTTCAGGAGGACACTGGTCGGGCCGTGGTTCTGCCGCTGTTCCCGTCCCGTGGAGAAATGCTGCAGGCTCGCCTCTCCCACCTCCGTCAGCTTTCCACGGACAGCCGCGCTCCCGTGTGCAGCCGCCCCGGGCACGGCAGCTTGACCCGTCGAGCAGGAGGTTTGCTGCGTCAGTGTGTACGCTGACCTGCTGGGGCGTCTGCTGTCAGTCCTCTTCAGCTAGGGTGTGCGTAATCTGGATTTTGTTCCTGGCAGATTGACGTGGCTGGTCTGTTGGCGAAGGCTTCGTCTTCAACATCATCTTGGCCTTTTAAAAAATTATTTTCATTTTTTTCAAAAACCTGAATGGCAGAGAGAGAGAGAGAGAGAAAGATACAGATAGAAAGAGGCCTCTCATCCACTGGCCCACTCCTCAGATACCCACAGCAGCCAGGGCTGGGTCAGGCTAAAGCCAGGAACCAAGGACTCACTCCTGTCTGCCACGTGGGTGGCAGGGGCCCTCATTGCTGCCCCCCAGGGTGTGCGTGAGCAGGAAGCTGGGTC